TTCTGATTGTAAAACACGTATAATATATATATATTATATACTATAGTGAAACATTTAATTTTATTACTCACTATCATGTGTATGTATTGTAATTGTCGAACGATTAGAGTTTATATACTGTGAAGCTTTAAGATAAAAAAGATTAAATATACTTACTTATACATTATTGATGGGTAATCGTTAATTATAATGGATGAATCCAATGTCATATAAATTCAAATACTCATACAAATTAATTTATTAATGTAACTTCGGTGATTTAAATATTAAAATATATACAGGGTGATTCTTTTATCAAACAACACTTATTATTTAAAAAGTATTGACTTTTTCAAATTTTTTTTTTCAAAATTGTAGATTTACACTCTTCTTGAATTGTTTATTTTTTTTATATTTTTCACCCTTAGATAAACCACTATCAACTTTTGATTTTCAAATGGTAACCTATACTTMAAATTTCATAAATTAATAAAGCTATTTTTTTTATTAATTATTACGTTAAAATTTCGAATTTAGCGCTAGTAGTTTATGAGTTATRGGTATTTAAAGTTTAGATTGGCAGAGTGGAGTGGTACGGGGTTACCCCGCAAAATGTTTGTCCACTACTCCGCTTGTCTAAACTTAAAATACTTATAACTCATAAACTACTCGTCCTAAATTCAATTTTTATGTATCAACATTTTTAGAAAAATATTCTGCTTTGGAATATGAAATTAAAAAAACTATGTTGCCATTCAAGAAAGTAAAAAACTTAAAAATGATAAGGATAAAAAATATTTTGAAAAAAGTTAATACTTTTTTAAATAATGAGTGTTGTTTGATWAAAACTGTATATACAGGAAGAAAAGCTTAAAAGGAATCTTATCGTCGTGTATTTGAGCGCGTGACATAATATCGTTCATAACATCATCAAAGGACGCCTCACGAGACTATGAACAGATCACAAGCCGTTCACCTACATGATGTTTACACTTAAGGCAGAAAGATCATAGACCGACTGGTTTCAGGTACGACAAATTTCATTATTGTCTCAATTAATACACAACGTCAAATACATTTTGGGCAAGGACAACATCGTCTCCGACGCGCTGTCGAGATTTAAAATCGCCGAGACCTACCGGACTTACGGCAGTGGGTAATCGACCAAGCGAACGATTCGCAGCTCCAGTGCAATATTTCTAACAATACAATAAGTTCGTTGTCGCTGCAGGCGCTCGCCTCTCCGGGCAGCCTATGCTATATTCGAATTATTCCATTTACCGGCGATGCGGTCGCCAGATTCCATTCGTTTTATCAAATTGCGGTATTTCTGGCCGGACATTGATCGAGAAATCACGCGTTGGACTTGAGCCTTTGAATCATGCCAACACATCAAAGTACACAAACACACGACGTCCAGGTTCACACCGCAGAATGACGCTTCGGTCACATTCATCTCGACTTGGTTGGGCCGCTATCRCCSTCCAGCGAATATACAAGTACCTATATACTGTCCGTCGTCGACCGAATCACGTGCTGGTCAGAGGCATAGTCGATCGAAAATATAAAGATTGTAACATTTACTATTTGTACTATTTGACAAATTTAGTAATAATATTTGTAATCGAAATTTGTTAAATAGTCCTGTTACACCTTATACGTCGGCCTACGCAGTCGTGCAGCTTTTAACAACAAGTTGGATAGCACGGTTTGGTGTGTCCAACATTATCACCACCGACCAAAGCCGACAGTTCGAGTAGGACCTTTTTAAACCACTTCTGATCACCTTCGGAATTTAGCACATTCGAAYACGGTCGTATCACCCTCACGCCAACGGGATGGCAGAACGTTTTCACCGCRCACTCATCACCACGCACGAATCGCCACAGCGATCAGTCAAGCTGCCTAAATGGTATTAATCGCGCTGCGCAGCACAGTCAAATCGGGCATCGGAGATCGGACAAGTTTCAGCCGAGTTGGTATACGGTACCACGCTTAAACTCTCAGGGGAGTTCTTTCACCCCGCTTAATTCGAGTCACGATCTCCCAAGCTGGTAGCTGCAGCGTTGCGAGACTCCACTGCAGGACAGCTCCGATACACCCCAGGTATCCGTATAATAATATATAACTATACGTTCGTGCTCACCGACCTGAGCTGAGTCAGTCATGTTTTTGTTCGGCTTGACGCGATCAGATCACAGCTTCAGCCACGTTACGAGGGCCCACTCGTCGTACTTGCAGAACGCCGGTAGAATACGTTCAAGGCCACGCAACGCGACCTGTCCACACTGCAACACGRCGTGGATTTCCATCGATCGACTCAAACCAGCATTCATCCCACGGAAGGATCCACTTGCCTACCACACGTACACAATACAATCTGTCGGTGTCTAGTCAAGTAGTCCTGCTCTTCTTTCGCGCGGTATCACATGCACTTACTTATACACCAATGCAATTGTATCAACCGAACTTCGAAACATCCTTTTTGTTGATGTATTTTTAACGATCGACGTACGTTTTTTTGTAAGTACTTTGCAACAATCGACTGATCTCGCGTTCGTCTCATCCACGCCCCGCCGTGACGTTTTCGGCCGATGCTTGCACGGCGCACGGCTTTCTCTCTTTCGCTACCGACTTTGCGCAAACACGCGCGKCTTTTTCACACCACTCGTCGTTGCCTTTTCGTGCATCGACTTTGTACAATCATTTTTGTCGACTCGTTTAAGTTTTTATTTTCGGAACGACGTCAAATCGTCCGTAAAACTCGTGCCTATTAAAAAATGTCTAGTGCCCATGAAAAAAATGTATYCTGGGCCCCTCAAAACCTCCCGCTGGTGCTGTGGTAAAAACTGGTCATTTAAAATTCCTTTATATATTATATAATCCYCAAAAATGTCTCCAACCCTAGGCATTGAAGAGTCTAGTAGTTATTACACCAACGAGTATCATACCTCATTTTGCACGTCGTTAATCGGTCAGAGCTAAATGTATTATACCTAGTTGAACCAAATGCAATATATGTTTGTTACAAGATTAACATTTTAAATGCTTGGGAAACTATTTAACTTTGGAAAAATGATTTCCATGTAGTTCCATGTTTTCATATTTCCATGTAAGTACTTATAGTTTGTAGTTTTTATATTATGTATGAACATTTTCTTCCAACACTATATTATTTTAACTTATTAAGAATTATAGGAAACTCAATTTAATATTTATATACCTATTCAACTTCTTATTTTAAGTAAAATTAATAACACTATTTCTAAAACTCAAGACTTGCCAAACAATGATATTATTATTATCTATACTTTTAAGATTATTTTATTATTTGGCTATTTAAAGCATGTGATGTGAAACAATATTGCTAAAGTAAACTTTCTGTTATAAAAATGAAACAAAAATATTAATTTTATTCAATTCCTTGCATAAGTAAAATTAACGTGTCTTATGTGTGCATCTAAATTTGATGAATAAAATTTGATTCTCTTTTAAATCAAGTTTGTTTTTTATGTTTTTGTATCTATATTCCCGGCTTGTAATTTAATTATAAAACCAAACATTGCTTAATACAATTTAACTGTGTAAATGCCTGGTTAAATAGCAATAGCTTATATACATATATATATATATAATAGCTTCACATAAAATAATTTATATTTAATCATCACAATTGACAATTATTATGTATAATATTTCAATAGGATATATGACTTATGATTTAATAAAACGTCTTTAGCTAACTATAAAATATACAAGTTAAAAATGTATTTTCAATGTATAAAATATTTCGATGATGATTTCTCAAAAAACGAGTTAGTGATAAAGAACAGCGAGTTAAAAGCACTTATATTAGTAGGTATTTAAGATAATTGTTGAATAATAATTTGTTTCATTGTTTGTGTCACTTTTGAGAATCATATAATTTAACATAATATAAATATAGTCTATCTTAATATAAATAATGGACTGACGTGACATCCTGTGTTTTATACATGATTTTTAARGGGTTTTAAATAGGCAAGTTAAGAAAATATTATAAAACATTTAAATATATCTCGTTAATCTTAGTAATTGATAATTTATAAGTCATAAGTGGTTTCATATTTACATGACATGACCAGTTCATTAAGCAACTGTAAGCATGATTTTTTCTTTTTTAAATTTTTTTGGTATTATCAAGGTATTATCTATTATAAATTAAAACAAAAATTGTATATTCAAAATTTCAAAACACTGACTTCCACGAAAAATGTATACAATTTCTTAGAACAATGATACGTGACTAATTTTTATAACTTATAGTAGGTAGTCTAAAATTAAAGTAATAAACTTATAAAATCGAACATAAGATAGGTACCGAACTTTGCGTGGTATTGAAAATTTTTCAAAATTAGCTATATA